CTAGAGAGAAGATATTGGTGGACGAGGACGAGGTAGAGGGACTAGAGAGAAGCAATAAGTGGACGAGGACGAGGTAGAGGGAACTAAAAGAAGATATCAGTGGACTAGAACAAGGAAGAGGGGACTAGAGAGAAGCAATTGGTGGACGAGGACGAGGTAGAAGGGACTAGAGAGAAGCAATAAGTGGACGAGGACGAGGTAGAGGGGGCTAGAGAGAAGATATTAGTGGACTAGAACGAGGTAGAGGGGACCAGAGAGAAGATATAAGTGGCCTAGAACGAGGTAGAGTGGACTAGAGAGAAGCAATTAGTGGACGAGGACGAGGTAGAGGGGACTAGAGAGAAGCAATAAGTGGACGAGGACGAGGTAGAGGGAACTAGAGAGAAGATATTAGTGGACTAGAACGAGGAAGAGGGGGCTAGAGAGAAGCAATTAGTGGACGAGGACGAGGTAGAGGGACTAGAGAGAAGCAATAAGCGGACGAGGACGCGGCAGAAGGGACTAGAGAAAAGATATTAATGGACTAGAACGAGGTATAGTGGACTAGAGAGAAGCAATTGGTGGACGAGGACGAGGTAGAGGGGACTAGAGAGAAGCAATTTGTGGACAAGAACGAGAAGAAGCGGTGGTAGGAAATGAGGTAAAGGGACTTGAAAAAAGGCAGGTGTAGGGCAACGAAGTAGAAGGTAGGTTTTACACTGTGATGACCATCTCAATCAAGCACAGATGCCGCGAGATTTGGATGAAGTTGGCAGGTTGTTGATGAGACTTGTGAAGGGGAATGTGTGTGTACGTTGCTGATGGTGGAAACAGAATCCAAATAATGCTTGTATGTAAATTATTCAAGGGAGGGGTGCTAACAGGATAAAATCAAACAAGGTGCTCGAGCAACTCCTTTGGATCAATGACCTTATACATTAGAACAACGACGTCGGAGAAAGAGGAGTTGACAATTCGAGATACTTACCAACGTAACGAAGAAATGGAACAGAATTAAAATCACAGCCTTTCAGTCACCATTGATAAATGACGATTGTTAATCTCAGTTGTTGGAAAGTTGTTTAAGGTCTCTGTATTAGTACGTAGTTATGGTGGAGAAAGTTCGATACTAGTTATACAGAGGATACAGTGGAGGAGTAAGGGGTGGAGGAATTAAAGTGGAGGAGTGGTAGAGGGAAAATGAGGACGGGAGGAGAAGGGAGGAGAGGAAGACGGGAGGGATGGTTAAGATGGAGGAGGAGGGGAAAGGGTGAATGAGGGATAGGGGATGGGGTGGGGTGGGTGTGCTTAGAAGAATACAAATTATTAGTCAGAAAAGATGTCGTTTTCAAATGATTGGCAAAACATTCAGTCGACTATTATCTTACATACCTATGGCATGCGCCCAACACAAATGTCAACAAGGATCACAATTAAATATTTGCATTATAGAAACACTCGATCCGAACCATTTCTACCGTCCAAAAATTAATTAAGATAATGTTTCCATGATAGTTATATATATCCTGCTGTTCGTTACCCTTTCCAAAAGTAAATTTCTTACACATTTGTTTTTCTTTTTGAGCAGTAATGCTGAATCAACTACAAGAGGACATAAATACTTATATGTATTGTAGTGCTGGTAGCAGTCTTGCTTGTGTGCAGGATTATAAAGAAATAAGGGGGATAGTTCAATCGATAAAATCACCTGTGGATGGTTATGCCTATACTGTCAACAGTCTACCACTGCATACAGCACATCCTTTATAATTTACGCAGTCCATTTGTTGACATTCAGAACGTTGAAAGCCTATTGATTTTTACAATCCTTGACATCCTTTTAACTCCGAGCCGTCTCAGACAATCTGTTTAATGGAATGTCGTAATGAACTACAGGTGTTTGTTTCCATTGCCCTCTGTCCGCTGGTGTTTTGATCTTTCTATCGGACTTAAGCAGTCTACTACTGAGGACTTCATAGCTATAGCTTCTTATTATGTTTAGGAGATGTGTGAGTGATGAGGTAAAAGTTTCTGATATTATCTGGTTATATTTTATTTTTTCCTTTAATTAAGTTGCAAAAATAAAAAATTAAATACAGAAGACATATGCAATTGATATGAGATTTGAAGAAATTAATCATCATCATTATCTAAAATAAGTCAGTACTATTGAACAAATTAAAGCGTTATCTAGCGTATACATGTACGTATCTGTTTGCATCATATACGAACTTTAAACACAATCTAGATGTCCTAAAATGTTTCAGACCTCTTGCAAAAATCATGCATTAATTTAGTTGATGACAAAAAATTAAAGTGACAACGGAATTAGATTAGATGAACTGCTAAGTCCGTGAAATAACATATATAAACTGTGGTTTATTAATTTCAAGTGTTTTGGGAATATATTTTAATTTATATTCTAAAATATGCAAGTTAAGTAAAAATCAACCAAAATAAAATCTGAAACGTTTAGACGGTTTTCGGTGTGGGCGTTTTTTTCTGAATGTTGGGCACTTGTAAAATCAACACCCCTCTACCTGATTTGAGTGCCTGTGAACCTAGCTAACCAACATATCTAAAAAAAACAAAAAGAAGTGCGCGCGCACACACGCACCTGTTTCCTGCTCTTCCGGTGCGGTGTGTAAACTGGACGTATATACATAATATATCATAATTGTTTGTAAACTTTAGAAGCTTAGTCGACGTAAAATATAACATGGTTTAATGAATATTAAGTGTAAGATTTTAAATTTTTTATTGAACAGAAATGCGAAAATATAGCAACAGGGCTATGATATGGTGATGTCAGTAAAAAGATCTGACTATTTTTGTTAGTTTCAGTTTACATCCCGTGATATCTACGAAAACTAGGTCAGCCAAAAAGGATTCGTCGTAAAAACATGATGGAGGAAACATCGTGTGAGTATCAACTTTAGACAAGGAATTTGATGTTGTTCGTGGATTAAACACCAGGAATTCGTCCCGGTAAGTTTAAAGAATCACCATAAAACCATATGGATCATGTTAGTATTGTGTTATAGCTCTTGATCAACTGTAAGTAAAGGACAACTACCACACATGAATCTACATGGTTTGTGCGTACGTTATTTATTCATTAGAAACAATACCATGGTTTCCCCTTGGCGACTCTTTTGTTATTATCATGGTCGTGCATGTTAGATATGCGGTCACTTTGCAGTGTTTATTTCTGAGAGGGAACGGTCGATGGCATAAAAGCCAAGCACCGGCAGGGTCAGAGGTCAAGGGCTCCCGCAGTACAAATAAACAACACAGGTCGGCGATAGCGACAGTCGGGCCTAGACCATGCATAGCTATGTCAATGAGTGCACTGTTTGCCTCGCGTTTGTTTGCGAAGGAGAGTTTTCATGTAAACAAGGTGCATGAACAGCCTTTTGTGCTGATAGTGGTACCGCCGGTAGATCTATATGTCTGCCCCTAATTAACAACTTAGAGGCTATACGCTATAATTAAGTTATAGGTTCCTATAATTATATAATTCGTCTGCTGGCCATGATAACCGAAATACTCTGTAGTAAAGCGGACGTAAAACCTATCAATCAATACAATATCAACATTAAATCATTAATGCGGCATTGTGGGCTGTCGAAGAAGTTTCTATGTCGCAAAAAGAAGCAACTAATGAGCTTCACAAGTTAGAAATTATATTATTAATTCACGAAACTATCTGGTAAATGTATTGTTGCTTATGCAAAATGATATGCTTGATTGGTGAAACTCAAACAGTTTCTCATCATGCTAGGATACACACATTACATGTACACACATTACATAGTATATACGTAATACCTTCTACTTCTAAATGGTACTGGTACCTAATGGATATAGCATTTCTTGTATGTTTAAATGCATAATTCTGTAAAGTGTCACTATGCTTGTAGTTACATATACAAATATGATAGGAATTGCATTACTATGAAAAACGAATTGAGCTGTCCCAATATAATGTATGCATAGAAAGGGAAATAAGCTGCTCCTCCTTTTTGGTATTTATTTCCTGCTTTGATGTCACATGTGTTTCCTCCAAGCAAGCTTTTTAAAAATAGCATATATTGCTGTGCAGCACACTTTTCATGCAACCACAACAACAGGGTCGTATCTGGTCGAAATTAAATGTAGTTTTCTTTTTGATCTTGGCCAAAAAAACCTACTGTATATATATATATATATATATATAGGGAGGCCTGTAGCTCAGGCTCTACACCTGATTATAAGGAGACTGAATAGAAGTGAATCTGTATCAAGTCATTGAAATAAAAAAAAAAGTTAGTTGTTGTGATAATACACTATTTTCACAACTGTTGACCCTGTTAAGGTTCTTCAAAGATGAAAATTCACCAGCAATAGCTATACTGTTCTTTTTAATTTAGGGCCTTATAAATAACCTTTTGTATGTTATGTAAATGTACATAGACTACAGGTAGTACAGACAGTTTTATATCAGGTAAAATCTATGTACGTGCACTAAGTGTAAGTTTTTGTGTTGGAAAGGGATTGATTTTCTGGGAAATCTATGTAAAGATAAACATTCATACATGTATAACGTAATCATTTTGTACATGTAATATCTATTGGCAGTATATATATATATATATACTGGGTAGCATGTTGTACAGTTTAGTTTATGTACATGTATTAGACATTTAGAAAATACATATATATATATATAGGTGTTCTATCCAATGCAAGCTATTCCATTTATATATATACATGTAAGTTGGTAACATTTCAATTACCAAGATATATAAAGGAAAAAATTAACAAAAAACTTTTTGAATAGAATTGTAAACGAAAGGTCAATCACATGTACAATAGGGCCTGTACAATGTGAGTAGGATATAGGACTGCTCAAACAACTCTTGACTGGTTTATAATAGGGCCTGTACAATGTGAGTAGGATATAGGACTACTAAAACAACTCTGATTGGTGTACACTAGGGCCTGTACAATGTGAGTAGGATATAGGACTGCTCAAACAACTCTTGACTGGTTTATAATAGGGCCTGTACAATGTGAGTAGGATATAGGACTACTAAAACAACTCTGATTGGTGTACACTAGGGCCTGTACAATGTGAGTAGGATATAGGACTGCTCAAACAACTCTTGACTGGTTTATAATAGGGCCTGTACAATGTGAGTAGGATATAGGACTACTCAAACAACTCTGATTGGTGTACACTAGGGCCTGTACAATGTGAGTAGGATATAGGACTGCTCAAACAACTCTGACTGGTGTACAATAGGGCCTGTACAATGTGAGTAGGATATAGGACTGCTCAAACAACTCTGACTGGTGTACAGAAGGGCCTGTACAATGTGAGTAGGATATAGGACTGCTCAAACAACTCTGACTGGTGTACAATAGGGCCTGTACAATGTGAGTAGGATATAGGACTGCTCAAACAACTCTGACTGGTGTACAGAAGGGCCTGTACAATGTGAGTAGGATATAGGACTGCTCAAACAACTCTGACTGGTGTACAATAGGGCCTGTACAATGTGAGTAGGATATAGGACTGCTCAAACAACTCTGACTGGTGTACAGAAGGGCCTGTACAATGTGAGTAGGATATAGGACTGCTCAAACAACTCTGACTGGTGTACAATAGGGCCTGTACAATGTGAGTAGGATATAGGACTGCTCAAACAACTCTGACTGGTGTACAGAAGGGCCTGTACAATGTGAGTAGGATATAGGACTGCTCAAACAACTCTGACTGGTGTACAATAGGGCCTGTACAATGTGAGTAGGATATAGGACTGCTCAAACAACTCTGACTGGTGTACAGAAGGGCCTGTACAATGTGAGTAGGATATAGGACTGCTCAAACAACTCTGACTGGTGTACAATAGGGCCTGTACAATGTGAGTAGGATATAGGACTGCTCAAACAACTCTGACTGGTGTACAGAAGGGCCTGTACAATGTGAGTAGGATATAGGACTGCTCAAACAACTCTGATTGGAAAACACATTTGTTGTATGTTTGCTACATTAATCATCTATAGCAACAGTTTGGTTTAACATTTTCATGTAGAACAGATTCATTGGAAGTGTCAATACATAGCTGTGTCATGAATCTGTTACAACGCTTTAAATCAATATCAATGCTACTTATAATTATGTACATTTCAAGTGGGATGTGTTTTTTTTGTTCTGTTATAGCCATAGAGGGAAAATATCAAAATTGATTTTTTTCTGCTGTTTCTTATGTATCCATCTTTTTTTTTATTTGCATCTAATATCAAGGTACAATGTGCACTGTAAATAAGATTTAGTAAACAAGTGAATTTGAAGACTTTTGAATAGTATATATGTATATATATAAAAAAATGACATTAGAAATTTTAATTAAGAATGAGTAATTATATAATATAATATAATCCCAGTTTGGATTCACACAATACATTATACGCTAACCTCATTCTAAAGACCCTAACCCCATCTCCTTTACGTCGTCAAAAAACATTAAAAACTTTCTCTGTGACTACTTCGATTTCCTTGTACTCTTTTTGTGCAGTGTTACGATTAATATACATGTACAGTTACAGCTGCCATAGACTTTAGATTTCATGCACCATATATATATATATATACATGTATACATCTCATAGAACTATTTTCTTTGGTAGACAATAGCTATGGGTCTCTAATTAAGATGTATATATATTTCTTATGAGCCATACATGCATGCAAGTCCAAACTCTGGTTATAATTACAGTGTAAAAATACAATATGTATACGTACTATCTGATCACAAACCTATTTTCTTTGATCAACAAAATAATAGGTCTATATATATATATATATACCTATATATAAGATGTCTATTTCTTATGGACCATAAGTCCAAACTCTGATTACAGTGTAAACATAAATATACATTGATGGTTTTGTGTTATGTCCTATACTCTGACCTAGATGTGGGTATCATCGGATATCCTACTCAGACCAACATGTACAAGTATATCCTGTGTAACAATCCAGCTCTCGAGCTGTCCTCTCAGGGTACTCATACACTTCATTCAGCAAATGAGTTGCTGACACTTAAGTTGTCAGTCTTCTTCCTATTATCATGAATGGGATTGTGATCATTGTATATTGTGTATGGAGTCTTTTGAATGTATTTTCTTGTCAGCATAAACTCTGGTATACTATAGCTCTAAAGTTAAACAATAGATTTACCAAAAGTGAATTTGGGGAATCGTATGAGGTTATCATTGTCAGTAAAATTAGAGATATGTACTTCACTGGTATTATGTACATACAACTGTATATGTGTATAATCAATATGCAGTACATTTTGTAATTCATATTCTGATACATGTATGTACATACTAATAATTACAAGAGGATTTGTTTTGCCTAATTGTACGCATGTACATCTTAAACAAGACAGCTTTTCTAGCAAAAGAGTGCTATATTTTTACTAAAATGAAGAAAAAGATTAGGACGATCTTCCCAATTTTAATAAAATATTGGTGTATTTTCCCTTTTCATGTTCAGAGGCAGCTATAAAAATTAGGTAGAAAAAATACTGTCACGTACTGATCATGAGGACTTAATGTACTTGGATCTAGAATTAGAATAACACTTTATAATCACCTGATCACGGAAATAGACACAGTAGAATCAAAGTGCCATCTTAAGTTTTAAGTGTTAAATCACATTTCAGCTGTTTAGTCACTTAATGTTCATATATCAAAAGAAGTCTGAATTTATTTTCACACATATAAGGTTCATGCTCTTTCTTTGTTCATTTATTCAATTTGGCTCCCTATATATATACATGCATGTCAAGTTGAAACAAATTAAGTGTTGAGCTTGTGAGCATCTCAGTCAATGGTTGTACGTTAAGCTTGTGTGCCTCTCAGGCTCTGCCTAGAGCTTGTGGGTCTCTCTGCAGTCTCTGCCTTGAGCTTGTGGGCCTCTCAGTCTCTGCCTTGAGCTTGTGGGCATCTCAGTCGACTCAACCTTGAGCTTGTGGGCCTCTTAGTCTCTGCCTTGAGCTTGAAGACATCTGATCAGTCTCTGTCTTGAGGTTGTGTGCCTCTCAGAGTCGGCCTTGAGCTTGTGGGCCTCACAGACTCTGCCTTGAGCTTGTGGGCCTCTCAGACTCTGCCATGAGCTTGTGTGCCCCTCAGAGTCGGCCTTGAGCTTGTGGGCCTCACAGACTCTGCCTTGAGCTTGTGGGCCTCTCAGACTCTGCCTTGAGCTTGTGGACCTCTCATTCTCTGCCTTGAGCTTGTGTGCCTCTCAGAGTCGGCCTTGAGCTTGTGGGCCTCACAGACTCTGCCTTGAGCTTGTGGGCCTCTCAGTCTCTGCCTTGAGCTTGTGGGCATCTCAGATTTTAAGAACATTGCGTGATCAGAACAGAACTACCAGTATATCAAGTCTAGTGTTGAGATATATAACTCCTGTTATTATTGAAGATGTTGTCAATCGGTCAATAGCAGCTTTTATATATTATTGACATCAAAGCAGACATAATACTACTTTATGTTATCAAACATCTGTGGAAATGGACTGTACAAAAACAGACAGTGCTAATGCTGAAATTGCTCTGAGCTGACTGATCATGAAGACTATCAATAGGGTTATCCCTTTAGCTGAATGACCATTGGTCAACCAGGTCACGTGATGTGACATACTGCTCAAGCCTCACCAAATATATGACAGCAGAGATCGACTGATTAATGTTGTGTATAAACAATTATTTATGTAAACAAATAAACATTTTATACACAACAAAACCTAGAATAAAAGTTTAAAAATTTACTGAGTCAAAAGTAACTTGTTCAAGTTATATTAATGATCTTTTGGCATTCTTAATTAGGGGCTGTTCTGTTACTTCATCTAAGCATTTCAAAATTTCGTTTTTTTAAACGGTGCATAAACACAGCAGCCTGCCATTTGTGGATCAGGGCAAACTTGTTGTAAGAACTTTGTGATGTAAGTAAAAACTGGAAACCGTACAAAACAGAGAGAAAACAAAAACAGACAGTGCTGATCATGCTGATCATGATCATGCTGAAACTGTTCTGAGCCGACTGAAGACGTTATCAATATTATTGGGTTATCCCTTTAGCTGTATATTATATATGAAGACTTTGTGTATCGTTTAAACCTTTCACCCCTTTGCAATTTTAGTAGAGCCTACCTTGAAATGATTTGGATGAGTCCACTATGGTCTACAGTGGTGAAAGGGTTAAATATATATGAAGATATAAAAAATCAACACGACAATATATACAAAATCAACTGATTATTGGTTAACATTTTCAAGCCTTACAGCTATATGTTCAGGCAAATACTTTTAATATCTTGGCTGTTATATGACAACATTATGACATGAAATTCAATCTATAGAAAGCTTGAAAATATTAGCAATAATCAACTACATTTTCTGTGCTGATTTTGTAGGTCGTCTTTGTATTTAAACAATACACAATTAAAGTCTTCATGAAATTGAACTATATATTTATGACCTTATATATATTTGGTGTAGAAGACATACATTTGTATACAAAAACCATTTGTATACAAAAACCATTTGTATACAAAAACCTTTAACAAACAAACACAGTGTAACTGGAATGATATATATATAGTTATTATATGTCTAAGTAAGAATTGACCATATGGACGTGGTATTTAAAGTTATCTACATATACAAAACATATCTATGAAACATATATACATGTAAATATGATGTTCATGTAAATACAATGTACATGTATCAGGATATATACATTTTGTATATACATGTAAATACAATGTACATGTATCAGGATATATACATTTTGTATATACATGTAAATACAATGTACATGTATCAGGATATATAATACATGTAAATACAATGTACATGTATCAGGATATATATAGACATGTAAATACAATGTACATGTAGCAGGATATATATATACATGTAAATACAATGTACATGTATCAGGATATATACATTTTGTATATACATGTAAATACAATGTACATGTATCAGGATATATAATACATGTAAATACAATGTACATGTATCAGGATATATATAGACATGTAAATACAATGTACATGTAGCAGGATATATATATACATGTAAATACAATGTACATGTATCAGGATATATACATTTTGTATATACATGTAAATACAATGTACATGTATCAGGATATATAATACATGTAAATACAATGTACATGTATCAGGATATATATAGACATGTAAATACAATGTACATGTAGCAGGATATATATCGTGATCTCTGATTGGTCCTATATCTTATTTTACAGATGTTTAAACACTGACCATGGGGGTAGCTGACCATTATTGGGGCGTCCTCCTAACCCTGAGTTACTGTGTAAGTATCAATAGGACAATCGTGTCTGATCACTACATTATACATTTACTTACAGAAGTCGCCAGCATTTGCCGGATGTTGACAGCAGATGACGTAAACAAAACAGCACGCGGTAAAAGGAGCGTGAAAAAATTTGACCGGTCAAAGTTCATCTTCACTACCAATCAAAACTACGGAAGGTCATATACCACGTGTGGTGTATCACTAATATTTATTCAACAGTCTGCATGTTTATACAATGATCTGAGAGTGGAATAACACAGCATATTGTGGTAGAATTATGGATTATTTATAACTTGTGCTGTATCCAGTGTAACACTTTGTTGTAGCTGATATTACCGGTAGCCGGTTCCTCTAGTGATATAGTGCTGACCAGTACCTACCAGAGAGGCACCAAGATATGTAAACCTGTCTTCAACTGTCACCAAGGTAAGTACATAAGTATACACATCAATATCATGTACATTAGCTCACCTGGCACAAAGTGCCTGTGAGCTGATGGTATGGTTCAGTGTCTGTCTCACCTCTGACCTACCACAAAGTGCCTGTGAGCTGATGGGATGGTTCAGTATCTGTCTCACCTCTGACCTAACACCAAGTGCCTGTGAGCTGATGGTATCGTTCAGTATCTGTCTCACCTCTGACCTAACACGAAGGGCCTGTGAGCTGCTGGTATGGTTCAGTATCTGTCTCTCCTCTGACCTAACACAAAGTGCCTGTGCGATGATGGCATGGTTCAGTGTCTGTCTCACCTCTGAACTAACACGAAGTGCCTGTGAGCTGAGGGTATGGTTCAGTATCTGTCTCACCCCTGACCTAACACAAAGTGCCTGTGAGCTTATGGTATGGTTAAGTGTCCGTCTCACCTCTGACCTAACACAAAATGCCTGTGAGCTGATGGTATGGTTAAGTATCTGTCTCACCTCTGACCTAACACAAAGAGCCTGTGAGCTGATGGTATGGTTAAGTGTCTGTCTCTCCTCTGACCTAACACAAAGTGCCTGTGAGCTGATGGTATGGTTCAGTATCTGTCTCACCTATGACCTAACACAAAGTGCCAGCTGTGAGCTGATGGTATTGTTCAGTGTCTGTCTCACCTCTGACCTAACACGAAGTGCCTGTGAGCTGATGGTATGGTTCAGTATCTGTCTCACCTCTGACCTAACACAAAGTGCCTGTGAGCTGATGGTATGGTTCAGTGTCTCTCTCACCTCTGACCTAACACGAAGTGCCAGTGAGTTTAAGGTATGGTTCAAAGCCTTTCAGGATTTTAATTGATCTTCTTTGCTTTTTATACGCCCGTCGAAGACGGGGACGTATTATGCTATCACGTGAGCGTAACTTCAAACTTCACAACAAGGTTAATTACCATGAAAGCTCGGACAAGTTCGATAACCGCCATTATCCGACCATAATTTGTGGAGTTATGCCCCTTTATGGACTTGCCGAAACAGTGTCCGCTCGATATCTTGAGTAATTATTAACGGATTAACTTCAAACTTCACAGCAAGGTTAATTACCATAAATGCTCGGAGAAGTTCGATAACCGCCATTATCCGACCATAATTTGTGGAGTTATGCCCCTTTATGGACTTGCCGAAACAGTGTCCGCTCGATATCTCGAGTAATTATTAACGGATTAACTTCAAACTTCACAACAAGGTTAATTACCATGAAACCTCGGAGAAGTTCGATAACCGCCATTATCCGACCGTAATTATTGGAGTTATTCCCCTTGGTTTCATTAATGCGATGCATGTGTTCCATGATGTTGAATTGCACTCATTGATCTACCAGTTATGTTGAATGATTTCTCTTTCAATATCAATTACTCACAAATACTTCATATATTTCATTCATACAAACAACTGCTCATTCAATGTGTGACGGGCGTATTATATACCGCTCGCAGTAACCTTGTTTGGATTTAAGATGCAACATCTTAAATCCAAAAACGCAAAGAAGATCAATTCTAGCAGAAAACAATTTATGTCAAATTTACCTTATAAATGCTTCTCACAAGAAGAAATCATACAATCATTAAATCAAAATAGTAGGAAGAAAAGAGAAAAGTAGTGCAAGACAATTTTAAGAAGTTTATAGAACATGACAATTTCTAAAACACCCCGGAAAACCACAGTACATAACAGTATATAATGACACTCAGGTTCTTTACTGTATTGCTTTCCGAGGGGTGGAAATATGCAATATCGCCATCTCATGAATGTGATTTTTATTTTATTATACCGAGTGTCATGTTTAGGTGTTTCACTACTTCACTATTTTTAAAGGTCCTTATGTTGATTTGACATAAACCAAGACTTCATCTCAACAGTTGTCGAATGAACCAACCATGAATGTGATTTGATAACACCCTGGCACTGGGACGAACCGTGCACGCATACGTTTGGCGCATGTGATATTTTTTAGAATGTCACCCTGTCTTCTTTATCTTTGTAAAACGAGCAAGTAACATTGAAAATGTTCACATCTTTCTCAACCAATCAGATTACAAGATTTTAACAGAAGATATGATAATACATAATGCTATACGAATCCTGAACATTTTGTATAAGATATGCTATACCAATCCTGAACATTTTATATAACATAATGCTATACCAATCCTCAACATTTTATATACTACATAATGCTATATGAATCCTTAACATTTTGTATAAGATATGCTTTACGAATCCTTAACATTTTGTATAACATAATGCTATACGAATCCTTAACATTTTGTATAACATAATGGTATACGAATCCTTAACATTTTGTATAAGATATGCTATACAAATCCTTAACATTTTATAGAACATAATGCTGTATCAATCCTGAACATTTTGTATAACATATATATTTTATACCAATCCTGAACATTTTGTATAAGATATGCTATACTAATCCTGAACATTTTGTATAAGATATGCTATACCAATCCTGAACATTTTGTATAAGATATGCTATACCAATCCTCAACATTTTGTATAACATAATGCTATACCAATCCTCAACATTTTATTAGCCCACCATCATCTGATGGTGGGCTATTCAAATCACCCTGTGTCCGTCGTCCGTCCGTCGTCCGTCCTTAAACAATTCTTGGTATCGCTATTTCTCAAGAAGTACCAGAGGGATCATTCTCAAATATTATATGTAGGTTACCCATGGTCCATAGCTGTGCAGGGCAACTTTTGAGACTGATCGAATAAACAACATGGCCGACAGGCAGCCATCTTGGATTTTGATAATGAAAGTTTGTTATCGCTATTTCTCAAGATGTACCAAAGGGGGCCTTTCTCAAATATTATATGTAGGTTCCCCTTGGTCCTTAGCTGTGCAGGGCAACTTTTGAGACTGATCGGATAAATAACATGGCCGACAGGCAGCCATCTTGGATTTTGATAGTGAAAGTTTGTTATCGCTATTTCTCAAGAAGTACCAGAGGGATCTTTCTCAAATTTTATATGTAGGTTCCCCTTGGTCCTTAGCTGTGCAGGGCAACTTTTGAGACTGATCGGATAAACAACATGGCCGACAGGCAGCCATCTTGGATTTTGATAGTGAAAGTTTGTTATCGCTATTTCTCAAGAAGTACCAGAGGGATCTTTCTCAAATTTTATATGTAGGTTCCCCTTGGTCCTTAGCTGTGCAGGGCAACTTTTGAGACTGATCGGATAAACAACATGGCCGACAGGCAGCCATCTTGGATTTTGATAGTGAAAGTTTGTTATCGCTATTTCTCAAGAAGTACCAGAGGGATCTTTCTCAAATTTTATATGTAGGTTCCCCTTGGTCCTTAGCTGTGCAGGGCAACTTTTGAGATTGATCGGATAAACAACATGGCCGACAGGTAGCCATCTTGGATTTTGATAGTGTGGGTTTGTTACCGCTATTTCTCCGGAAGAACTAGAGGGATCTTTCTTAAATTTTATATGTAGGTTCCCCTTGGTCCTAGCTGTGCAGGGCAATTTTAGAGACTGATCGGATAAACAACATGGCCGACAGGCAGCCATCTTGGATTTTGATAGTGAAAGTTTGTTATCGCTATTTCTCAGGAAGTACGGGAGGGATCTTTCTCAAATTTTAAATGTAGGTTCCCCTTGATCCCTCGTTGTGTATGTTATATTTTGAGACTGATCATAAAAACAAAATGGATTAAAAGAAGAACTAAACAGATCTTTCTCATATTGCAATGATCGATTCTATTTCTTTCACATTAAGTACTGTACTAGTAAATATGTGAAATGACAAACTCACTTTGAAGGTTGGCTTTCATACACATCAGTATTAAGTTTAGATCAAAAGTTACCTCAAGGTGCATTTACTGTTAACATGACTCGATCAAACAGATTAGAGGAAAAAAGAGAAAAGATCAAACTGACAAAGAACTAATGAAGATGGTACAAAGGTGGGCGCTAAGATCCCTCTGGGATCTCTTGTATAACATAACGCTTTACGAATCCTGAACATTTTGTATAACATATTGCTATAAGAATCCTCAATGTTTATTATTACCTATTCGAAGATTTAATGTGAATTTTTAATTAAACAGGGCAGCAGATCAAGGAATGTGCTAGTAGTATGTTGCATGAAACCTGTGAGGAGTGTCCAGCTGGGCTGGTCCAACCAGACCTCATATCATCCGTCCTAAAACTCGAGAGTCATCGTAAGTGTTTCCAGCTACAGGAGGCAAGGTGCTCCACTAGAGGTGAGTTATTCTTTGATTAAATATGTGCTCAATTAGTTTAATTGCTTCTGAAATATGCATCTTCTGTAGCATCCTGAGTCTGCCCCCCAGAAGCCTCCTCTGTATCAGCTCACCATTGTAGCCTACTCGTGTCGTCTATTGTAACCCTAGCATATTCTTCTGAAGTAGGCATTCCTCTGTAGTGACCTAGCCAGATCTTACTTCTGAAGTAGGCATTCCTCTGTAGTGACCTATCCAGATCTTACTTCTGAAGTAGGCATTCCTCTGTAGTGACCTAGCCAGATCTTACTTCTGAAGTAGGCATTCCTCTGTAGTGACCTAGCCAGATCTTACTTCTGAAGTAGGCATTCCTCTGTAGTGACCTAGCCAGATCTTACTTCTGAAGTAGGCATTCCTCTGTAGTGACCTAGCCAGATCTTACTTCTGAAGTAGGCATTCCTCTGTAGTGACCTAGCCAGATCTTACTTCTGAAGTAGGCATTCCTCTGTAGTGACCTAGCCAGATCTTACTTCTGAAGTAGGCATTCCTCTGTAGTGACCTAGCCAGATCTTACTTCTGAAGTAGGCATTCCTCTGTAGTGACCTAGCCAGATCTTACTTCTGAAGTAGGCATTCCTCTGTAGTGACCTAGCCAGATCTTACTTCTGAAGTAGGCATTCCTCTGTAGTGACCTAGCCAGATCTTACTTCTGAAGTAGGCATTCCTCTGTAGTGACCTAGCCAGATCTTACTTCTGAAGTAGGCATTCCTCTGTAGTGACCTAGCCAGATCTTACTTCTGAAGTAGGCATTCCTCTGTAGTGACCTAGCCAGATCTTACTTCTGAAGTAGGCATTCCTCTGTAGTGACCTAGCCAGATCTTACTTCTGAAGTAGGCATTCCTCTGTAGTGACCTAGCCAGATCTTACTTCTGAAGTAGGCATTCCTCTGTAGTGACCTAGCCAGATCTTACTTCTGAAGTAGGCATTCCTCTGTAGTGACCTAGCCAGATCTTACTTCTGAAGTAGGCATTCCTCTGTAGTGACCTAGCCAGATCTTACTTCTGAAGTAGGCATTCCTCTGTAGTGACCTAGCTAGCCAGATCTTACTTCTGAAGTAGGCATTCCTCTGTAGTGACCTAGCCAGATCTTACTTCTGAAGTAGGCATTCCTCTGTAGTGACCTAGCCAGATCTTACTTCTGAAGTAGGCATTCCTCTGTAGTGACCTAGCCAGATCTTACTTCTGAAGTAGGCATTCCTCTGTAGTGACCTAGCCAGATCTTACTTCTGAAGTAGGCATTCCTCTGTAGTGACCTAGCCAGATCTTACTTCTGAAGTAGGCATTCCTCTGTAGTGACCTAGCCAGATCTTACTTCTGAAGTAGGCATTCCTCTGTAGTGACCTAGCCAGATCTTACTTCTGAAGTAGGCATTCCTCTGTAGTGACCTAGCCAGATCTTACTTCTGAAGTAGGCATTCCTCTGTAGTGACCTAGCCAGATCTTACTTCTGAAGTAGGCATTCCTCTGTAGTGACCTAGCCAGATCTTACTTCTGAAGTAGGCATTCATAGTCACCTAGCCAGATCTTTCTTCTGAAGTAGGCATTCATCTGTAGTGACCTAGCTAGCCAGATCTTACTTCTGAAGTAGGCAATCCTCTGTAGTGACCTAGCTAGCCAGATCTTACTTCTGAAGTAGGCATTCCTCTGTAGTGACCTAGCCAGATCTTACTTCTGAAGTAGGCATTCCTCTGTAGTGACCTAGCCAGATCTTACTTCTGAAGTAGGCATTCCTCTGTAGTGACCTAGCCAGATCTTACTTCTGAAGTAGGCATTCATCTGTAGTGACCTAGCTAGATCTTACTTCTGAAGTAGGCATTCCTCTGTAGTGACCTGGCCAGATCTTCTGAAGTAGGCATTCCTCTGTAGTGACCTAGCCAGATCTTACTTCTGATGTACCCATCCTCGTCAACAACCCTAGTAACAATTGAAGATCTTTCTTCTGAAGTACAGGTGTGGGATTGTACAATGTTAAATGATTTACAGTGTGGGCACGGTGTGTGCATGATGTGCGAACAATACAGGCATTGTGAATTGAATATAATCTTCATTATTTTGATGAGAAATTAGTATAAACAGTGAACATTATTGCATTCGAGCCTTCTGGAATTTTTTCATTGTGTTGTATTGATATAACAATTGTATAAAATTGCATGGTTATGCGGACAGAAGCGCACAACTGGGTGAATGGTTGATAAATAGCACAATTGTGCACACCATGTGTGGACGATGTGCGGATAGTGTGTGCACAATGTATGCCAGCTATGCGCACACTATTTTCTGTGCATTGTACGGTCACACAGCTGTAAATGTCCTCTGTAGAGACTTTAGCTATTTTTCACCTCAGAAATAATCATTTTCTGTAAGGACAGTAACCTTACTCATACATCTGAAGTAAGTGTTGTCTGTAAGTGCTGTATTCTATATATGTACATTTTGTATTCATACTTCTGAAGTAAGTGTTGTCTGTAAGTGCTGTATCCTATATATGTACATTTTTCTATTCATACTTCTGAAGTAAGTGTTGTCTGTAAGTGCTGTATCCTATATATGTATTCATACTTCTGAGGTAAGTGTTGTCTGTAAGTGCTGTATCCTATATATGTATTCATACTTCTGAGGTAAGTGTTGTCTGTAAGTGCTGTATCCTATATATGTATTCATACTTCTGAGGTAAGTGTTGTCTGTAAGTGCTGTATCCTATATATGTATTCATACTTCTGAGGTAAGTGTTGTCTGGATGTACTAGTACTGTATCCTATATATATATATGTATTCATACTTCTGAAGTAAGCCTCTTCTGTAGTGACCTAGCCAACTTGTACTCTTCAAACTATGCATGCTCTGTAGCTATTTTAACCAGCTCTTACTTCTGGAGTAAGTAGCTTCTGTATCTGTCTCTGAAATCACAAGGTTTGGTTTTGCCTTGTCCACTACATGTTCTTGTTGGATTAAAATGCTGATGAAGTATATAAATTAGTTAGTCCCCCACCAGGAACCGGGGGGGGGGGGGGACAATAGTTTTGCGTCTTGTCCGTCTTTCCGCTATCTTGTCCGGGCTATATATCTTCTACACTACTTATCACTGGAACTTCATACTTGGGCTACAGGTTCACCTTAGTGAGGCGGTGTGGCATGTATCAAAAGTAGGTCACTGTGACCTATATTTTGGCCTTTGACCTACATCAAAGAAAAAGTTTGTCTGGGCTCTATCTCCTACAATACTAGTCAGTGGAACTTCATACTTGATGTATGGGTTCACCTTGGTGAGGCGGTGGGTCGTATATCAAAGTAGGTCACTCTGTTTTTGACCTTTGACCTGCATCAAAGAAAAGGTTTGTCTAGGCTCTATCTCCTCCACTGCTAGTTACTGGATCTTCTTGCTTGGGGCATGGGCTCACTTGCATTGAAGAAGAAGCATACATAGTGTCACCAGATGCAATTTAATAGTAAAATGGTACCACTAACCAGTAAACATCCACCAGATTTATTTCTAATAGTAGCACTGACACTATTCCTTATTGAATACGGTGGGTCTGTCAAACATTCATATTTAGAATTAGTTCCTGCACGAATTTATCATCTGCGCATTTCACATTCGGTGGGGGACTATAATTCGCCGAATTGTCTTATGATTTGTAATGCATTTATAACATATTTTTCTTTTAGACACAGTACCAGCACGGGAGAAAGATGGAAAAATATTTTGTGCCAAGTACTGCAAGTGTGACATCACTAAATGTTTCTTTGGGGAAACATCGTGTGGGTGTGATAAAAAGAAAGATGGATGTCCACCAAACTACCAGCTCAACGGGATAACAGGCGGTAAGTCACTGACGAGTCTATCACTATCATTTGGTGGTGCAAAAACCAGGTTTACCATCGCCATTGTTGGTAACATGATATGGAAATAATCTCTATTGTATTTAGTATAAATACAGCACAAACTTTTAGGAACACTCTTAAACATGGTATATATACACAAATATTTGTTTTCCTATTTCAAGGGCAATAAATATTTGATTATACAAACTTAGAACAATAACAAAACAGGTAAGATTATTAGGACTTCTTACAGCCAACATTTGCTGTCTGGAACACGTAAGGGTTTAGAAATCTCCCAAATGGATACTCAACAGGAAAAAAGAAGGTGTGAGGGAGACTCAATGTTTTGTCTCCTGTTCATGTGATGTGTTTTGTTTTGCATTAGGTAAACCAGGGTAATATTAAAATGTATTATGATAAGATGTCAATTCATTTTTGAATCTGTATATATATATTACTGGTTACTTGAGAAGTCTCATAAAGCAATTAATAGAAGAATAATTCTAAAATTTACAGAATGTATGAGAGAACAAAATCATTTGATTCAAAATACACTAATTGTGACAGGGCCTGTTTACATTTGTGAATGTCAGAAAAATTGTCCTGAGGTTAGTTACCTCAATGTTAATACCCATATAAATAACTCCAACTGTATCTCTTAACCCTTTCACCACTGTAGACCATAATGGACTCATCCATATAAATGCATGGTAGAGTCTACTAAAGTTACATAGGGGTGAAAGGGTTAACTGTCTAGTTGGACCAGTAATTATTTACTTTGTTCGGAATCGGATGATCATGTTGAAACTATTTTACCTATTTTGTTTTGCAGATTGTGAGCCTTGTCCCGACTTGACTTACAAACACGGTGACAAATGTGGCCCGTGTGAGTACAATGAAACAGCCTTCAAGTAAGTGTATTTTATAAGATGATTCTTTACAATCTTTATATTGCTGGTAGTAATAGCTCTGTAGAAAGATAGTATAAGTCAGATACTGTGTAACTGGTAGAATTGATGTTGGTGTATCACTGTGTCAAGTATGATAAAATATTTATATATGGAACATTGAAGTGAAAAAGAGCAGAAATACAATAAAAATGAAAGTTCCCCATTCTGCAGTGTGCTTTGTTTAATCTAGCGAGGAATAAAAAACAGAATTTTTAATTTTGTAATGATATTCCTCCTGTCATCACTTGATTTAAATTTTGTAAAAATTTGATCCTTGATTAAGAATTTATTTTGTGTTGCAGTATCACTATGAATAATACCACAACTGTTACTGAAACGACTCCAAAACCTGCAACACCGGAACCAACAACACCTAAGGTCAAACCAACAAGTAGGTATATTAATTTAGCTCTGTTACCCACTGCATGATTGTAAGAGGTGATTAATGTGGGAACCCCCTGCAGAATTGGGAACTTGTGTTTGTGCCATCTATTTGAGGATATAAAAGCGACCAAAATAAATCTGGAATGTTTGGGAACTTATCTCTACTTCTAACTTCCTTTTGTTCCCTAATGCCTTGAATGTTGAATGTTCTCCCAGGTGAGGAAGGCAGTGGGTTCTGTTCAAAGGCTGGGATATACCAAAGTCCTTAAAAGTGGTAGTTATTCCCTTCTTAACATTTATCATTGGGGGGTAATGACAACGACTGGTTCACCACTGGTTGTCAGTATAATGTGACGGGGCAGAATGCAGTGCTGGGTCTCTTTGGCATGATATTTCAGTGAGATAGCACTTTAAAGTCGGCATCAGATCATGATCCGCGCTATCACAAGGAGGCGAATATGCCAACAAGCTGCCACCAGCACACCTACACAGGCATGCATACATAGCAGGTGATAGGACGTCAAACCCTCTAAACCAACATTGTACGCCCAAGTGTGCCAAATGGGACCAAATGGTTATTGCAAGTTTGTGAAAGTTTGACCAACATCATAGCTTGGCCACAGTTCTTTGATGCATGCCAAAAACAAATTCTGGACTTGCTTTTGATTTGTTTTATAAGGAAGGCAATACAGGTAACACTCATCCTGGTCAGAAATGTGAATTTTTCAGATTAATGGCCAGTTCATTTGATGCTGTGGAAATAATTATGTTTGAACAACAAGAATGAATGTTTCAATTTTTCCAGATGAATGGAATTTGAATTAATGAGGATCAAGCTGAATAACCTCATAATATGTGATACAGGTAATTTTGTGTTGGGATAATGTCAATTGTAAATAATGATAGTTTAATTTCCCCCTCAACCTTCTTCCTAAAAAAAATCCCCATTCAGATACTCTCCAATGTAAAATGCCATGAACAGGAACAATAAATGTCATATTTCTAGATTTGTGTTTGAAATTCTCTTGTTTCGTGTTTCAGCCACACCTAAACCAACTATTCCTCCAACCAAAGGTAGCCAATCTGAGGAGAAGGAGGGACTGTCATCTGTGGCTGTGATCATGTATGTTCTCAGTCCTACATTCAGCAAAGTTTACTCACTTTGTCTTCGTTAAAAAAAAAAAGATAAAAAGAAACTGAAGTGTTGCTTGAATTAAATGTTCAATACTAATGCAAATATTTTATATCTACTGCATTTTCCAGAGGCAGTGGTATCAGCACCACCAGTTAATACATTTAGAAGCAGACTTTATAAACACTGGACTCATCTGGAACTTATTTATAATTATAGAGCTTACATATACTAAACATACTTCACATGGTAAAATGTTTTGAAACTTAAGAGATGGATGTTTCAATACAAGAGACTGTATATCACATACCACTGTGGTATCTATTAACCTAAGGTCAAGGTCATAGCAAAGATCCATAAACCCAAGGTCAAGGTCATAGTAAAGGGTGAAGGTTGTGCATATTTCCTGTGTAGTCTGTTTTAATAACTCCTTAAAGCTAGTGTTGTATTGTTACAGATATGTACTGAATTAAAACACTGTCATAAATTTGCACTCACCTGAGTGTGTAAAAAGGGCAAATTGAAATTTTAGCGATACTTTCTTGGTATTCAATATGCCATTCAGATATCGTTGTCAACAGTATTAGAAAGTCTATTGCAACCAGTCCAGCAGTTGTTCAGCTTACCGTTCTATTTTCAGTAATGCTGTTTCATTGTTTCAATATACCTGTTATTTTCTTTCAGTATTGCTGTTTTGGTGGTTGTCCTTCTGATCTTGGTGGGGATTATGTTGGTCATCTTCTGTTGTTACTGTAGAGGCTCTAGATGCAAAGAATTTCTAAAGAAACCACCATTTGGTAAGTTTCTAGAGTGCTTCCCGATTAGGTCAGACATGTCTGTTATATGAGAATTGTAAGGACTGCATTACTTTCGTTTGGTCTGCACTTTTTCTCCAATAATTGTATTACAGCTTTTCACAATAAAGCCCTGTTAACAGGTACCTGTACACACTTGATATCTGAGCAGATGTTCAAACATTGTCAGTTCAAAAATAATGTTGATTACTGTTTGAACTTATTTTATGAAGAGCTGTAGATCATATTAAATATTTTGTGGCAGCTTTAATATACATTAATATACAAAACAGGTATTATAATATACAACACAGGTATTATAATATACAACACAGGTATTACAATATTCAATACAGGTATTATAATATACAACACAGGTATTACAATATTCAATACAGGTATTATAATATATAATATAGTTATTAGAAATACAGTCAAACTTCAAATATAACCTTAACCATGTATGAAGGAAACTTTAAAAACTACAAAGGCAGTGATTTCCTGTTAACTGAACTTGTATTAAGAGCCAACAATAACTTAGTCTGCATTAAGAATTCTCTTACTGAACCTGTATTAAGAATTCTCTTACTGAACCTCTATTAAGAGACCACATTAACTGAACATGTATTAAGATACAACACTTACTGAACCTGTATTAAGATACAACATTAACTGAACCTGTATTAAGATACAACACTTACTGAACCTGTATTAAGATACAACACTAACTGAACCTGTATTAACAGACTACATTAACTGAACCTGTATTAAGAGACAACACTTACTGAACCTGTATTACCGGCCACACTAACTGAACCTGTATTAACAGACCACATTAACTGACCCTGTATTAAGATACAACGCTAACTGAACCTGTATTAAGATACAACATTAACTGAACCTGTATTAAGATACAACAGTAACTGAACCTGTTTTAAGATACAACATTAACTGAACCTGTATTAAGAGTCACACTTACTAAACCTGTATTAACAGACCACACTAACTGAACCTGTATTAACAGACCACAAAAACTGAACCTGTATTAAGATACGCCACTAACTGAACCTGTATTAAGATACAACACTTACTGAACCTGTATTAAGATACAACATTAACTGAACCTGTATTAAGAGTCACACTTACTAAACCTGTATTAACAGACCACACTAACTGAACCTGTATTAACAGACCACAAAAACTGAACCTGTATTAAGATACACCACTAACTGAACCTGTATTAAGATACAACACTAACTGAACCTGTATTAAGATACAACACTTACTGAACCTGTATTAAGATACAACATTAACTGAACCTGTATTAAGATACAACAGTAACTGAACCTGTTTTAAGATACAACATTAACTGAACCTGTATTAAGATACAACACTAACTGAACCTGTATTAAGATACAACACTAACTGAACCTGTATTAAGATACAACACTTACTGAACCTGTATTAAGATACAACAGTAACTGAACCTGTATTAAGATACAACATTAACTGAACCTGTGTTAAGAGACAACACTTACTGAACCTGTATTAAGATACAACATTAACTGAACCTGTATTAAGATACAACACTTACTGAACCTGTATTAAGATACAACACTAACTGAACCTGTATTAAGATACAACACTTACTGAACCTGTATTAAGATACAACACTAACTGAACCTGTATTAAGATACAACACTAACTGAACCTGTATTAACAGACCACATTAACTGAACCTGTATTAAGATACAACATTAACTGAACCTGTATTAAGAGTCACACTAACTGAACCTGTGTTAAGAGACCACATTAACTGAACCTGTAGTAACAGACCACATTAACTGAACCTGTATTAAGAGTCACATTAACTAAACCTGTATTAAGAGTCGCACTAACTGAACCTGTTTTAAGAGACCACTTATTGACTTGCTAAAGGTGGGATCTGGACAAAAACTATAATTCCTTTTTATATAAAACTACATAATTTTCTACCAGTTGTAGGCATTGAAATTGTTAGTGATGCTTTCAATTAAATTGTATTTGGGTGTCTGTATTTTCTATCTACAGCCAATGGTCAACCAAATGGACATCTAAATGGCTTCCTAAGGAATGGCCCGACACCTTGTGATGAAAAGTTGTACGAGGAGATGACCACTATACCTATTGGTATCAGCTATGAGAATGAGCCGTTGGTTCCGCCTGCTCCTCCTCCACACCCAAACCATTCACCAATTAGGGCCTCGGACCAACTTCCACCAATACCAAGCCAGTGGTCTCCAACAAACAATAGCTATATGAGTGCTGTTGGGTCTAGCCAGGCTGGCCTGAGGGTAACGTTACCACGACAAATCTCTCACCCAGTCCAAGACACGACACCGCACACTCCAGGGAGTGGTGGCAGCTCAAGCCTCACTAACGATTTTGAAGGTAAGTAAGGGTCACAGTATTTAGGATAAGTCATTGTCACAGTAGTGAGTGTAAGTCAAGTTCACATAAGTGAGTGTAAGTCACGGTATTTAGGATAAGTCAAGGTCACAGTAGTGAGGATAAGTCAAGGTCACAGTTGTGAGGAAAAGTCAAGGTCACAGTTGTGAGGATAAGTCAAGGTCACAGTAGTTAGTGTAAGTCTAGGTCACAGTAGTGAGGGTAAGTCAAGGTCACAGTAGTGAGTGTAAGTCAAGGTCACAGTTATGAGGATAAGTCAAGGTCACAGTTGTTAGGATAAAAGTCAAGGTCACAGTAGTGAGTGTAAGTCTAGGTCACAGTAGTGAGGATAAGTCAAGGTCACAGTAGTGAGTGTAAGTCAAGGTCACAGTTGTGAGGATAAGTCAAGGTCACAGTTGTGAGGATAAGTCAAGGTCACAGTAGTGAGGGTAAGTGAAGGTCACAGTAGTGAGGATAAGTCAAGATCACAGAAGTGAGTGTAAGTCAAGGTCACAGTAGTGAGTGTAAGTGAAGGTCATAGTATTAAGGGTAAGTCAATGTCACAGTAGTGAGGGTAAGTCAAGGTCATAGTAAAGAGGGTAGGTCAGGGTTACAGTCATGTTGTACCTGGTAAAAGCCTTTGACCGTTATGGGTTCTTTAGCTGATACAGGGTACAATATGGAAATATAGTGTTCTTGTACGATACAATGTGTGGGATGGTTTTAAAATTGATATCATGACAAAAACAGTAGAAATTGAAATCATCAATGGAGTATAACGCCACTTCTATTATTCCGATGATAATTGTTTGGAATCTGTTAGATACTTTCCTGCAGCAGATTAAAGCTGACCCTTTTGTTGTAGCTATGAATCATTATTCCACGGGCAGTTACCTATGTCCTGGACCAGGCATCAGCCAGGAGCCAATTCATGCTGTGGACAATCGCATATCTGATGGTATAAACACTGATGTCAAACAGCAACAGTCATCACCCATACTCTGTAGTAAGTCACCTGTGAACTAAGGTCATTCCTGTGTAGTGTTTCTAAAGTCACACCTGCATAGTGTTACTAGAGTCACACCTGTGTAGTGTTACTAGAGTCACACCTGTGTAGTGTTATTGAAGTCACACCTGTGTAGTGTTACGAGAGTCACACCTGTGGAGTGTTATTAAAGTCACACCTGTGGAGTGTTGTTATAGTCACACCTGTGGAGTGTTACTAGAGTCACACCTGTGTAGTGTTACTGAAGTCACACCTGTATAGTGTTATTAGAGTCACACCTGTGGAGTGTTATTAGAGTCACACCTGTGGAGTGTTATTAGAGTCAAACCTGTGGAGTGTTATTAGAGTAACACCTGTGAAGTGTTACTGAAGTCACACCTGTTTAGTGTTACTAGAGTCACACCTGTGGAGTGTTATTATAGTCACACCTGTGGAGTGTTATTAGAGTAACTCCTGTGTAGTGTTACTGAAGTCACACCTGTGTAGTGTTATTAGAGTCACACCTGTGGAGTGTTACTAGAGTAACACCTGTGAAGTGTTACTGAAGTCACACCTGTTTAGTGTTACTAGAGTCACACCTGTGGAGTGTTACTAGAGTCACACCTGTGTAGTGTTACTAGAGTCACACATGTGTAGTGTTACTAGAGTCACACCTGTGTAGTGTTATTAGAGTAACACCTGTGTAGTGTTATTGAAGTCACACCTGTGTAATGTTATTGAAGTCACACTTGTGTTTTACAAAAGTGTTAAACCTGTAAACTTGTAAAGTGCTATACAATGGTGTCACATTTGCAGTACTTCAGGTGTGTTACACTTGTGCAGTGCCATATAGCTACTTTATGAAATTGTTCTCCTTACACAACCAAATTTCATAATCCATACTTAGCAACCTGATTAAAATGTTAAGAAATATAGAGGTACATGTACTTACTTCTAAAACCTGTGATAGCATATCATCTGCAGTCCAGAGTTTGAATCCCCGCTGATTTTATCACTCTGAACACTGTTGTTGTTTATATTGTATTTATTCCAGCTGTATTATTTTTCATACAGCCCCTTCAAGGTATGGTTCTCTTTGCAGAAATAATTTATCAAAGATATAGTCTTGTCGAAAAAGCCCATTTTCCAGTACTACGTCACAGTTTTTGGCAGTGGTACAGGGATCCTTAATGTATTTTTGTGTATGTTACAGCGGAAGACAATCCTGACACTCCGGCACTTCCTAACTTCCCAACAACAAACTTGTCCACTGATGAGTTTGCTCATCGTAATCGTGGCCATTTCCTGCCAGGTGGGAGAGCTCTAGAGCACGGGGAAAATGCTGCTAAGGAGAATGAGGAGGAAACACAGCCCAAACTTGGCAATCAGTCGGCCAACTCCTCCCTACAGAAACCAGGAAGCGACCATTTTGTTTCTCTGAATCAAGGCACAGATAAAAAACACTTAATTCCTAACTACACTGAAGTAGAAAAGCACAAAGGTGCTGTAAACTTTTCTGTCGAGGGCAAAGTTACAGAAGGAGCAAATTATATCGGTGATGCAAAAGTTTCACCGACCTATGTTGACATGGAGAAAAATCCAAGCTCTTCTTTTGTTGATAAGGATACTTCCCAAGATGAGGCATATGAGAGTGTTGATCCATCTAATTACAATAAAACTACAAAGGAGACCAAGGACAGCTCTATAGCATCCAATCACTCAAGTACTTCTGGCAAGAGCTGACAGACTAAACCAGCTTCCTTTTGAAAAGTTTTTAACTAAAGTTGGCAACATTCAACTGCATTCAACAGCTGACAATGACTAATTGTTTTCCTGTGATGAAGAATCATTACATAACTTAAGACATGATTGTGCAATGTCCTAGAGATATGTTGGGTATTCTTTGTGAATAGTACCGCCTACAGGAAACAGGCATTAAGAAATACTGACTCATTTGCATGACCTAGAAACAACCAATGTCACACTCGCTCTTAATTTGCCTACTGATATAAGCCTAGAGGAATGAGGGATTTTATCTCATGACATAGATCTACGCAGTGACACAAGTCGTCCGCTAGATCACGGTAGAAATCTCCTCACAAATCAAACCGGTCTACTAGTGAATTGGTGCAGCAGTCTCTACATCCCCAGCTCTACAGGTAGAAGGCAGGGTTCAACATCCAATGGGAAGTGTAATGTGTTACCTCCTTATTACTTTCGGGCTCCTAGGCCACACCTGGTGACACTTGGTGATCCTGAGGAATAGACAGTGGAGTAATGCAATAGTGCTAGCTATTAAATGTGGTTTACCTACCTGGCCATGGTCTAACAGCTAGCTTGTGTAGGTATGTGATTGGTGTCTAGAGTCCAGAAATGGCAGTACCTATTGCAGGCTTTTGTGATAGCATTGATCAGGGGCATTGACCACTGTAGGACTCCTAGACCACACCTGGTGATACCTGGTGATTCTGAGGAATAGACAGTGGAGTATTGCAACAGTGCTCGCTATTGAATGTGGTTTACCTACCTGGTCTAACAGCTAGCTTCTGTAGCTATATGATAGGTGTTTACAGTTAAGTATTTGCAGTACCTATTGGGACCTATTGTGATATCATTGATCAGGGGCAGTTCCAATTTTAAGGACCTTGTCTTGATCCAGGCAGAGTAAGGGCAGTATCTATTACAAATGCTATTTGGCACATAAAGTTTTTCACACTTATAAAGTATTCAGAAACTTTCGTTCAAATAAATTAAGGATATTAGTGTTGTCTTTTTCGTATGAGCTTTATGGAATGAATGTAGAATATTTTTATTATATATATAGCTATTTTCAATTTAAAATTTGAAAATTAAGTAATGACAAAGAACCGTCACAAATTGGGGAATGTTTCTACCAGAACTTTTATATATAATGTTTGGAAAGCAATACTTGATGCATGGTTCCAGTTTCTGCCAGGAAAGAAATCTTGGCGAATAATGATGTTATAATGCAACTTTAACTTTGGCATGATATTGCAGAGCAATGTTACATATTTGTTTTACTAATGAAAAATGCTTGCAGCCTTTACACCACTTGCTGGATAAGGAATACATGTCCAGGGGTTAGGGATGGTGGAACACAACAAGACAGAAATGAAATATTAATCATTTGTATCAAATGTAACAAATTCCTTGCCACTTGTAACTTATTCTTTAACATTTATTGGTTGTGTGTGGATATAAATGTCTCCCAAGCTTGCTTTATGGTAACCATACCACACGCAGTGCACTTGGTATCAAACACTAGCTATATAGATTTTGGATTCGTATGTTTGCCTTTTAATGCTAACTCTTTGAATATCATTACTCATTAATTGTTGAAAAGATTTTCACCTGGCTAAATATATTGATAATAAATGTATTACTTAACGGATTATACTTAATGAAAACCATTTGAGTTGTATAAAATATTGAAGTGTCACATAGGAACATAAAGGTCATGGTATACGTGCGTAGGAAAGTAGTATTAAACCAACGTATACCATCATATACAAGTACTCCCAGAGGCCTGACTGATGTAATTGTCTTTTGACTTATAACTAGTGGATGATTGTATTAACTGATCACCTATAAAGATAATTAAAAGTCATGTTTATATAAGTGTTTAAAATCAAAATTGTGTTTTAGAATATAAATGTTACCCTCTTGCATAATATTGTGTATATGTGAATGGCTTCAATGAATTCACCATAAAAAGGTACCTGTACGTATATAGTTTGGGTCTACTTCCTCAGGGGAGATAACTCCAACTCTAATACCATATTGTACCATTGGCTGGCTTTAATGAAATAGCCAAGCAAGGTAATTTAAATACACTTTCATGTCCACTTCCTCAAGGGAGATAACCCCACGATACCACACTTCACCATTGCTGGCATATGATAATCATTTAAATGTATTTGTTTCACTTTCTTCCATTTTATTTGATCAATTGCTTTTATGGTCATATTGTCACACGTGAATTTTTTACATTAATTGGTGTTACAAACAGACACCTTAGTAACTTGTGATAACAGTCTGTGTCGTAGGATATTGGTAAATTGATATGTTGTGCCTTGGAGTGGTAAAACTTAAATCTACGCCTTTGTGTCCAGTGTAAATGTTAAAGGTAGACCGTTGTTGGATTTTCCATAGTCATTACTTAGATATCAATCATGAGCTCAGCTCTGTATATATTAAAATCGTAATTGTGATTTGTAATTGCCACTATAACACTATGTTGAAGCTGTTTTGTGAATGGATAAAATCCCCCTTTAGCCCACATGTCCCTTGGAAGAATTGTCAATACATGTACTAACATGCATAATGAATGTAAACAGACAATTCAGTATTAGACGGAGTTTATACGCTTCATATTTTTGTTTGTGTTGTTGGATAATGCAGTTGTGAAAATGATATTAAATAAATGTTCAAAGAGATGGAGGTAGAATATATGTTGGTTGATATAAGGTAACTTCTGACTGCCTCATTGAAGACAATACTGTCAGGTCTTCTTAGAGAAAACCATATCCTAGAAAATATTTGTCATAATATCACTGTAATTTGACTGAAGAAAAAAATATTTTGGACACATTTTAACATTAATCATGAAAATGAAAAATCAGATGGATTGTGTGCTTCATTATTTTTTGTCCATTAACTTGTTTTTGTTAACAGTGACAATACCTATAAGGAACCACAAGCTATACTGTGGGAGACCACTGTTGGAGTGATTAACCAAAATTCGAATCTCAACAGTATTTGTCAATTACTATTTCAGATACATGTACTTTTGATTTATATCTAAAATATTCTTTCAAAATTTCCTTAAAAGATTTTCTAAGAATAATTTGTAATTAACATAATATTTAATATTTAAATTAATTAATTTTTAAAAACAGAAGATTTCATAGTGAGAAATTTTATGTTAGAAATGTGTGGATTGAGAATTGTGTGTATGCATGAACACATTGTTGAGTAGAATTATTCTTGAAAACAATTTTGAGTACATGTACAATGTAGTATATATCCTTGAAGAATTGGATGTTTGCATTATCTTATATTTTTGTCGATGTTTTGTTTTCTTTACTTCAGCTGATTTTTATGATTATACTCATTTTACTTATTGAAGCCGTGAACCATCAAGTTTACTTATATAAATATTTTTTTAAATTTTTGGCCCTTGAACCAACTTTAAAACATGCATACAATTGGGTTAATGTTCAGAGCAAATTTGATTTAATGCAGATGAATTTTGAATTTTATTCAAATGAGTGAAATATTTATGTATTTTATCTGGTAAGTATTCAGTTTGTTGGTGATATTGATGGTGGTTGTTGTGTGGTGACTGAAGATGGTAAGCAATATAGATAATAGGAAATCATCAAATTTGCATAATTTACCAGGTAATATTCAAAACAAGTGCTCAATAATCGTCAGTTTAGTTTGCCCTATTACAAAGCTTAGTTGTATTTTGTCTTACACAGGTTACCATGGAAACAAATATTAGTACTGTACATCAGATACATGTAGTGGTTATAATACAGCACACTCCGTCTTAAGGATCCCCATACCACTGCAAAAAATTGTAACTAAATATTGGAAACTTTGTTTCTGGAATGAAAATCATTTATGAAAAGAAAACTTGTGGGACCTTTATGGGGGGAAATTCACAGATGAAATAAACAAAGTACAATCAACATCAGTGCTGTGATTGTAAAAACTCAGTGGGCTAGAATGGGCTTCAAACCCTTGACCTCAGAGTGTTATACTGCCGTTCTAATCGTATGAGTTAACCTGGTCATCGTGAAGTGTCCTTGCCCACCTGTGCTACAGTTATATCTAAACGGAAGAAAAGGGGAGGTAACTTTATGTAGGAAAAACCATGGTAATGGTACAGGGATCCTTAACTGGACTCTTGTCGAATCAGGACTGATGTGTCAGCCATCTAAATGATGTTGTGTATGATGATGTAACGTGTAGAATTTATAATCTGGAACTCTCCTCAAACCGACCAAATTATATGGTCCCAGGACTTCCGGTTGTTTATAATTTAATTGTACATCGTATTGTGCTGGCTTATGATACTAGGTTGTAACAACTACATTGTCTGAAAAAGTAAAACCCCAGGGGACCGAAATGTCCAGTGCCAGTATCCTTGTGATTCTGGTTGTAAGCGTTATATGACAGGGTCCCATATATTTATATAATTCAGATGATTTTATTTTTATTGAAATACATATTTGTTGTAACTGATTGATTTTGCAATATGTATTATATGTAACCATGTTATTTTATTTAAGCTTTTTGAAGTGCTGAGTACAGACTGTTAAGCCATTTAAATTAATATCTTATATCCCTTGTTTGACGTTTATCCAATGACGCCTCGGTTTTTCTTTGATCTTTTCTCGACGATATATTGCATACCGTGTGATATTTCAGATATCACATGGCTTTTCTGATTGGTCCATGCCACAGTCTGGAGGCGGTGCCCATTTTAAAGTGGACGTGACAAATCAACAAAGACACGAAAAACATTGCAAACGAATTTAATTTAATTTAGACACTGTAAGTGAAAAAACAGCATTTCTCTATCAAGCACCAATAATGTGTTGGTAATATATTTTTCACGCTACGTTACACTTTTTTTGTTATCTTGTGTTTCGGTCTTGACTTTCTTGATCGCACTTTTCCCACACTCTAATGCCCGGCTTATTTCCACCTGTTGCGCTTCGGACGGTCTGTTGTAGGCACGGACAGCGGTACTGCGATGTCCAGTCCTTTCCATAATCAACTGTTCATCAAAACCCAATGAAAGTAGAAAATAAATGAACATTTTTATCGTGTAAGGTTTAGGTTAATGTCAATGCGTATAACATTCAAGTCAAATTAAAAAAAAACAACATAAAAATTAATAATTGTTTCATCACTACATTGTATTTTTAAAAAAATATAAACACATGCGTTGCGGAAAAAGTAAATACCTAATCATAAATGGGAGAATATATAAACAAAATAAATAACGCGTCAGTAATTTAACTTCAAATATCGTGTTAATGAATTATTTAGGATTTATGTTATTTATGGACATCGAAAGTTATTTTCATATACGAAAAAGAACATGTATTCTATTTTACAGATTATGAAAAAACATATACACACGCTAATATTTTCGTGATTCACAATTATCTTTAGATTCACTTTAATTTCAGACTTACCGGCTTGGTAAAGAGATGTGGCTCATGTTCTCTTTCCGTAGTGATTTAAAAACTTCCCCTCGAATCCTGCTTCCTTACACATGTTTTTCACAATTGCATTCAGTTTATTTACTCCAATCGGCTGTGTTCCAAATTTCCTACCGGCAAGGGGTCTCATGTAAAATGGACCCTCCCCAACAGTCTATAGACAACTCTGTGTAAATATCCTATACACTCCGGGGACGTCATGCCATGCCTGACCCTCCATCATTAACACCTGAGACTGAAACGCTGTGGCAGGAAATGGGATGCGTCAGAAAGTGGCGGGAAAATATCAAAGTGATTACTTGACAGATCCTGATCAGCTGTATAGCTCCCCCCCTTGACACGTGGATGACAAAAACCTCGGCGGTCATTGGATAAAACAGATACATAATCGACACTCGTGACGTATCGGATATATCACTCGTGCACATTATGTATCTATTACATATCATTGTAGAAGTTGGCATATTTAACTCATTCATCCCTGAAGTTTTATAATGAACTATTCCAACCTTTGAATTGGAAGAGTTCAAATGTGTCTTCAGGGGTGAATGTGTTAATTCGTATAATTAGCTTATATCAAGCTTAGGGAGTGAATGCTCCTGTAGTAAACACTTTATAATGTGTCAAGTCATTTTCATTCAGCCCTCCTAAATTTTAACACTACAATTGTTCATTTTACTGTATAAATGGTTTTTAAAATGTACTGAATGATTTGGGATCAAATTTTGTTTTCTGACAGACTAATGGATGCTGTATACATTGTGAACATATTTCTATTCAATTCATTAATGTTTCCTGGTCACACACCTCATACCACTCCTGATATTGTGTTGATGTTACTATGCTACTCTGGCAGTGTAGTAACTTGCAATTTTTAGGTGGAAATGTGATTAAAATTAATTGATCATGACTACTATTTTAAAAGAATTGGGGGGGGGGGGGGGGGGGAATAAGCTACTTTTAACATTCAAGTGTAGGCCAGGGTGTATGTACCTTTAACAAACATATTGTAACAACAGGACAAGATGTTCTAAATTGTGAAAATTGCTAAACTTTTGATAAAATATTCATATAAAACTTATACATGCTTTTCAGCCGAAACTTACTTACTTTTTACACCTGACCTAGCTTAATTCTCTTTCAAAGAAAAAGTTTGTAAATCCCATGACTGGTTATTAAATGGTGACAATTTAGGGCACATTTGTACTGTTCAGGTTGTCACATACACACTATAGATTCTGTATCAGCTGTATATAAACATGAGGATCATTAGTGTGTTGTACAGTATATTTTTTATCTGCTACATACTAGTACATACATGTAGTTTATGAAGGAAAAGTGTTCCACGAAGTTACATAAAGTCACATCATGTGATGCACTTAACAGAATTATAGTTATTCAAATTAAGGTATCTGAAAAGAAATACTTGTACAACAACTACAGGGGGGTCAAACTCTGGGCACATTCACTGCCAGTCACACACTTCTTTGCCAATGTTGGTTTCAAGCAGTTATAAAGTCATAGCCCCAAAATGAGTGACAAACACCTTGCATAGTATCAAAATATGAGATGATGTCATTCAGGGGAAGTTACTCTGACAAAGAAAACCTCCTTGTGTTGATTCATTGTCTTTATTAAAGACAAAAAACAAACCTTTTGAAGTGAAACTCTTCCTTACGATTATACCTTGTACAGTGGCACCCTTTACCTTACGTATATAGTCTTCTTCTTAGCCCTTTCACCACTGTAGACTATCATGGACTCATCCAGATGAATGTATGGTAGTGTCTACTCCAGTTACCTAGGGGTGAAAAGGTTTAGGACTGATCAGGACTGTTTGTGTTCAATAAGAGATTTCAAAGTTTTCTTTGCCGTCTTACAAATAATTTTGGAGACATCTTTCCTGTGTAAGTTCAGAATAAAGTGAGGTTTGCAATGTAATTACCTGAATATTTGGTTCCGAGCTGTCCAACATGTAAACGGTTAAGATTTTGAAAATTGTGTTTCAACTGGGGCATTTGTACCCACACACCATGTTATAATATAAAATAATTTGTGTTTGATGATTATTGATTGTTTGTGTACATTTTACATTGTGTAAAGTTTTATACATTAAAAATTGTAAAATGCATGCATGTGGCTAGTCCGTCACTGTCGGACATATTACAACACAAAATTATTTTCCTTAAAGTATATTTTGCAAATAAGTTTAAAATAGACATTTATTTCTTGATATATACACATATATTTACATAGAACTATTGATTGTTGTACAAGTATGTTTATTGTGTTAGTTCTGACTGATAAATACAGTGAATAGTTTGATATCCAAGTTGAACATAGATAAGGAATTAACAACACACTTTTGTATTAATTGATTAACACTTTCACCCCAAGGAAACTTAAGTAGAATCTACCATACATTTATCTGGTTGAGTCAATTATGGTCTACAGTGGTGAAAGGGTGAAGGATTTTAAAATGTTGACCGATGCAAACAGTTAGGCTGCATGTGGTTTATACATTAAGGAAAACTTAAACGTGTCCTAAAACTTGACACTGGGTTTTATGGTTTATATCAGTTACTTGGAGAAGTCGTGTATGCTAAGTCATACATCTTATCTAACTAATCAAGTTTGCGAAGATCAAACAAAACGTGCAGCAACCTAAAGTGGTGATTAAATATACCATCACTGACAATTTATAACTTAGTCATATTCACTTGAATGTTTTAATGCTGAAGTCATATTCACTTGAATGTTTTCATGCTTTAACAGAAACAACACCTTTTTTTACAAACATGTGTGAGCAAGCCCTGCTCATATAAATCTTCTGTGGTTTACAATTTTATCCAAAGAGACAGTTTATCTTTGGATGTGATGTCTTGTCTATGAAGACTTATACAAGTGGGGTCACTGCTCAGATGTAAACAGATGTATTTTACTGTAAAGTGCTGTGTATTGCCATTAATTGTATATTATATATTTTTAGTGCCATGATTTATAAGTATGGCTGGAGTGATACCGACCATATCTCAGATGTGTTTTGTTGTGATTTGTTATGTGTTATAAAGGTTGCTCAGTATGTGAGTGAGAGTAATGTGTTATAAAGGTTGCTCAGTATATGAGTGAGAGTAATTTGTGCGGGTGTTGTGATGATACAATTTTCATGTTGACATTTCTTGGTGAATCTCATTGCAGATCATGTTAATATGCTGAAGTACTGTGTAGTATCAAGTTATACATATAAACTGGATAACAGTCTACTTCTGACTGAGTGCAATGGACAAATGCATCAATTGATGTACGTGTTTCATTCATAGTTGAAATTGAGAAACCAAAATGAAATAAAGACTGCAGGCCTAGATTTATGTTGATATTCCTCACCTGCAGTTACTCCTGTAGTCTCTCATCTAACACAGTGTCTAATCAGTTTGTGCTTCTTTAAACCTTTTAAATCCAGATGTTTCATTCATTAAAGCTTCCAACAGGTCAGTTTTATCATGGGAAGAATATGAAAGATTGATAATAATATCGTTATTGGAATGTGCAAGTTCAAAATGTACATTTTAAGTAAAATAGATTCTCACTGTATAACGCATTCACCCCTGAAATTTCATAATGGAGTATTCCAACCTTTGAATTGGAAGAGTTCATATGTGTCTTCAGGGGTGAATGGCTCAACTTTTAAGCATAAATTTGTCATCAATGATGGTAGAACATTAGTTCTTGTGATTTTATTATTGTTGTGAGGCTAGCTAGGAAAAATAAATATATGATGCATTCAAGTGCTTGAAATTGACAATATGAGCCTAAAGGAAATATCCATGTATAATGTTGACTGTGCAGTGAGAAAGACATCCAGGTGTGTGATTGGTGAACATGTGGAGAGTGTGTATTTCTGTATGGAGGGTAGGAGTTGTGTGGGGGTGATGTGTTGGTGTGTGGAGAATGTGAGTCGAGTCTAGATTGTGTGTGAGGGATTTTTGTTTGTGGTACATGATACATGTATCAATACATAAGTATTTGTGATGTACAAAACATACATGTCCTGAGTTGGGAGACTAGAAATACGCTAATGTTATGATAATACATAGTTTACCATGTAATTTTGAGTTCAGCTTATTTTGTGTACAACAATGTGTGTACATGATCCCTGTCAAGCTGTAGGCCTGTAATAAACCTGATGTAATTTACAAGGTTGTTTTTGACTTTTTGAAAATGATATTATTGTGACTGTATATTGCATGCTGGTAATGGGTCATTCTATTGAACACAAGATCATATAATGGGATCCCACAGATGCTGTTGTGTCTTTGTGTGGGACATTTTATCCTTGTTGCTCTCCCGACCTGCCAAGAGTTTAATAAGGGTATGATGCTATATAAAAGATGCGTTGAAAATACAGACCAACAACAATCTGAGCACACATACAACCCCAGTAGATGAACACACTTAACCACATAGAAATCTAAAATGAGACAACGGTACAACAAACACAGGAATTGGCTTGAATGTTAAGGGCCTTGAGATTAAATAGGGTGTGAACTTGTACTAGTGCAATATTAAAGTAATACTCTTTAGAAAAAGACGGCAAAACTTGGAGATGGTAGTATGGGAAGAGAAGGAAATGACGTAATCAGCAATAACTGTTTCCTGTATCATTTACGGCACCTGTCATGGTTTTTTGTGAAAAGGAAATAAAACAAATGAAACCCATTGTTTGAAATTAGTCATGATGCTGATCGTTGAAGTCCTTCGGCGTGTATAGAATTCTTTAGAAAACCACGGTTACCTAAGGTATTTGTAAACATGACACATTAAACTCGGTAACGATGAACCGCAGAGAAATGGATGCAGAATTACCTGGAGAATTCTACTGATACTGATACCACATTACTTCACTTGGCAATGTATAGATTACATTGTAATGGTCATCAGGTCCCATTGGAAGCAGTCGAGCGAGGAGGCCAATAATAGGAGGAGTGAATATTCAATACGGTGGCTGCCAACCAGTGTTATCGTGCTTTGACAGCCAGCATTGCATTGAGACTAATAGGGTGTAACGGAAGCAGAAACGAGGATTTAGACAAATGATCAGGTCCCATAAGAAGTAGAGGAGTGAGGAGGCAATACTATCAAGAGTCACGTGCTCAACACGATACCAACCAGTCGAAGACGGTTTATCTTGCTCTGTTTGGACAGTCACCGTGGATTGTATCGAGACTAATCAACTGGGTGTAACAGGCACAGAAATGAGGGCTTAGATTGTATCATCATGGTTATGTAGGAAGAAACAATGGTTGTGTGGGAAGAGACAATGGTTAATTGGGATTACATTATAATGGTTGTGTAGGAAGGGACAATGGTTAATTGGTATTGCATTATAATTGTTGTGTAGGAAGGGACAATAGTTACTTGGATTTGCATTTTAATGGTTGTGTGGGAAGAGGCAATGGTTAATTGGGATTACATTATAATGGTTGAGTGGGAAGAGACAATGGTTAATTGGGATTACATTATAATGGTTGTGTAGGAAGGGACAATGGTTAATTGGTATTGCATTATAATTGTTGTGTAGGAAGGGACAATAGTTACTTGGATTTGCATTTTAATGGTTGTGTGGGAAGAGGCAATGGTTAATTGGGATTACATTATAATGGTTGAGTGGGAAGAGACAATGGTTAATTGGGATTACATTATAATGGTTGTGTGGGGAGGGACAATGGTTAATCGGGATTGCATTATAATGGTTGTGTGGGAAGAGACAATGGTTAATTGGGATTACAATATAATGGTTGTGTAGGAAGGGACAATGGTTAATTGGGTTTGCATTTTAATGGTTGTGTGGGAAGAGACAATGGTTAATTGGGATTACAATATAATGGTTGTGTAGGAAGGGACAATGGTTAATTGGATTTGCACTTTAATGGTTGTGTGGGAAGAGACAATGGTTAATTGGGATTACAATATAATGGTTGTGTAGGAAGGGACAATGGTTAATTGGATTTGCACTTTAATGGTTGTGTGGGAAGAGACAATGGTTAATTGGGATTACAATATAATGGTTGTGTGGGAAATTATAATTGTTGTGTAGGAAGGGACAATGGTTAATTGGGTTTGCATTTTAATGGTTGTGTGGGAAGAGACAATGGTTAATTGGGATTACAATATAATGGTTGTGTAGGAAGGGACAATGGTTAATTGGATTTGCACTTTAATGGTTGTGTGGGAAGAGACAATGGTTAATTGGGATTACAATATAATGGTTGTGTAGGAAGGGACAATGGTTAATTGGATTTGCACTTTAATGGTTGTGTGGGAAGAGACAATGGTTAATTGGGATTACAATATAATGGTTGTGTGGGAAGAGACAATGGTTGATTGGGATTACATTATAATGGTTGTGTGGGAAGGGAAAATGGTTAATTGGGATAACATTATAATGGTTGTGTGGGAAGGGACAATGGTTAATTGGGATTACATTAGTTAATTGGATTTGCATTTTAATGGTTGTGTGGGAAGAGACAATGGTTAATTGGGAATACATTATAATGGTTGTGTCGGAAGGGACAATGGTTAATTGGGATTACATTAGTTAATTGGATTTGCATTTTAATGGTTGTGTGGGAAGAGACAATGGTTAATTGGGATTACAATATAATGGTTGTGTAGGAAGGGACAATGGTTAATTGGTATTGCATTATAATTGTTGTGTAGGAAGGGACAATGGTTAATTGGATTTGCATTTTAATGGTTGTGTGGGAAGAGACAATGGTTAATTGGGATTACAATTTAATGGTTGTGAGGGAAGAGACAATGGTTAATTGGGATTACAATTTAATGGTTGTGAGGGAAGAGACAATGGTTAATTGGGATTACATTATAATTGTTGTGTGGGAAGAGAATAGTTATAATTAGGATTACATTTATAATGGTTGTGTAGGAAGATAGTGAACCAGATAGCGGGAAGAGACAATGGTTAATTGGGATTACAATTTAATGGTTGTGAGGGAAGAGACAATGGTTAATTGGGATTACATTATAATCGTTGTGTGGGAAGGGCCAATGGTTAATTGGGATTGCATTATAATGGTTGTGTGGGAAGGGACAATGGTTAATCGGGATTGCATTAAAATGGTTGTGTGGGAAGAGACAATGGTTAATTGGATTACAATATAATGGTTGTGTGGGAAGAGACAATTGTTAATTGGGATTACAATATAATGGTTGTGTAGGAAGGGGCAATGGTTAATTGGTATTGCATTATAATTGTTGGGTAGGAAGGGACAATGGGTAATTGGAGTTGCATTATAATGGGTGTGTGGGAAGAGACAATGGTTAATTGGGAATACATTATAATGGTTGTGTCGGAAGGGACAATGGATAATTTGGATTACATTTATAATGGTTGTGTGGGAAGGGACAATGGTTAATCGGGATTGCATTAAAATGGTTGTGTGGGAAGAGACAATAGTTAATTGGGAATACATTATAATGGTTGTGTGGGAAGGGACAATGGTTAATTGCGATTGCATTATAATGGTTGTGTGGGAAGACACAAAGGTTAATTGGGATTACAATATAATGGTTGTGTAGGAAGGGGCAATGGTTAATTGGGATTAAATTATAATGGTTGTGTGGGAAGAGACAACGGTTAGTTGGGACTCCATTATAATGGTTGTGTGGGAAGGGACAATGGTTAATCGGGATTGCATTATAATGGTTGTGTGGGAAGGTTGTGTGGGAAGGGACAATGGTTAATTGGGATTACATTTATAATGGTTGTGTGGGAAGGGACAATGGTTAATCGGGATTGCATTAAAATGGTTGTGTGGGAAGAGACAATGGTTAGTTGGGGTTGGATTACAATATAATGGTTGTGTAGGAAGGGGCAATGGTTAATTGGTATTGCATTATAATTGTTGTGTAGGAAGGGACAATGGTTAATTGGGTTTGCATTTTAATGGTTGTGTGGGAAGAGACAAAGGTTAATTGGGATTACATTATAATGGTTGTGTGGGCAGGGACAATGGTTAATTGGGATTACATTATAATTGTTGTGTGGGAAGAGAATAGTTATAATTAGGATTGTGTAGGAAGGGACAATGGTTAATTGGTATTGCATTATAATTGTTGTGTAGGAAAGGACAATGGTTAATTGGATTTGCATTTTAATGGTTGCGTGGGAAGAGACAATGGTTAATTGGGATTCCATTATAATGGTTGTGTGGGAAGGGACAATGGTTAATTGGGATTACATTTATAATGGTTGTGTGGGAAGGGACAATGGTTAATCGGGATTGCATTATAATGGTTGTGTGGGAAGACACAAAGGTTAATTGGGATTACAATATAATGGTTGTGTAGGAAGGGACAATGGGTAATTGGAGTTGCATTATAATGGGTGTGTGGGAAGAGACAATGGTTAATTGGGTAATGGTTGTGTAGGAAGGGACAATGGTTAATTGGATATGCATTTTAATGGTTGTGTGGGAAGAGACAAAGGTTAATTGGGATTACATTATAATGGTTGTGAGGGAAGAGACAATGGTTAATTGGGATTACAATTTAATGGTTGTGAGGGAAGAGACAATGGTTAATTGGGATTACAGTATAATGGTTGTGTGGGAAGGGACAATGGTTAATCGGGATTGCATTAAAATGGTTGTGTGGGAAGAGACAATAGTTAATTGGGAATACATTATAATGGTTGTGTCGGAAGGGACAATGGGTAATTGGGATTACATTATAATGGTTGTGTGGGAAGGGACAATGGTTAATTGGGATTGCATTATAATGGTTGTGTGGGAAGAGACAAAGGTTAATTGGGATTACAATATAATGGTTGTGTGGGAAGAGACAATGGTTAGTTGGGGTTACATTATAATGGTTGTGTGGGAAGAGACAATGGTTAATTGGGATTACAATATAATGGTTGTGTGGGAAGGGACAATGGTTAATTGGGATTGCATTATAATGGTTGTGTGGGAAGAGACAAAGGTTAATTGGGATTACAATATAATGGTTGTGTGGGAAGAGACAATGGTTAGTTGGGGTTACATTATAATGGTTGTGTGGGAAGAGACAATGGTTAATTGGGATTACATTATAATGGTTGTGTGGGAAGAGACAATGGTTAATTGGGATTACATTATAATTGTTGTGTGGGAAGAGAATAGTTATAATTAGGATT